CCAGAGAGGAGCAGGATGGACCCTCTTTGAACATAGACAGGGGGTGGCTACATACGCCATGTCTGGGAACAGCATGTAGAGCAGCGTGGCTAGATGGTAAGGCTCAGGAAGGGGAGGAGTTGAAAATAATCCAAGAAAATTTGCTGGACATGGCTTCCACTTCTTTGATTTCAGGTTAGGGCACAGCCTCGGGTAGGGTGGAGAGAGTTGCTGCCAGGCATGGAGAGTGGCCTCTTTGTGACACTGTGAAAGGGCAGAGGCAGTAATTTGGAGCCAGCCAGAAGCTGACTCAGCCTTCCATGGCACTCTGGCCATGACAACATAACCAGACTGGAAACCCAGTCACATCAGCACCCTCTGAGCTCTCTACTCTGAGAGGACTTCTGGTGAGCGCAGGAAAATGCTTCTACCTCCAGAAAGCCCTGCCACAGCTCCTGCCTTCGCACCTGCGCTCAGGAAATGGCTTGCCTCCAGCTCTGGAAGAAGTGCAGGCACCCTGAAACTGAGACATAGGCTAGTTCATTAAGGACTTTCTTCATCAAAAAATCATTCTCTGGTCAGAGAGATGCTGCTGAGTCACAGGCACAGTCCTCAGAGCAACCCAACAATTCAGGGCATTTGTGTAAGTAATCTCTGTTGGTGTAGAAAATTGGAGGTTTGCTTAAAGAGAGGTGGCAGATAGTTTTTTGTGTCCTGCTGTCCCTGGGATACAGGAACAGAGAGCTGTCTTTGAGAATAATGGAGCAAGAGACCTAACGTAATAGTTGATATTGAATATCCGCGGGAATGAAGAGCCTGCAGAGAGGCCCGTCTCCTTTTGCTGCCCAGTGGACTTCCAGAAAGGCTCAGTCAGCAACTGCTGGCAGAACCCCCAGCTGTAGAAATGACCAAGAAGCATTCCAGAGTTAGCTGGGATCAGGGGTGCACACATGGAAGAGGAGTCAGGGAAGGGTAGAATCGAGTGTCAGACATCTATAGAGGCATCAAAATAGAATCTCCTAGCAATCAAGGAGCTATGTGACAGATGCTCAGATGATCAAAAAATGGGAAATTCTGAAGGCAGTGCTGCAGAAAGGTGAGTGGGGTGGTGTGCCTAGGCAGAGTGTATGAAATAACCCCAAGTTGTAGCCCCAAATCCCCTTGAGCTTAGTTTCAATCCCTGCCCCTCTCCTTGGTTCATTTCTTGGGGCTCATTTCTCCAGATGATGCTGTGAAATTTTTCCTGGTTCATCTCTTTAAACTCCTAGCTCAACTGCCTTTGGGAATTAAGGAAGTTGTTGTTGTTGTTTCTTAATCTCCTGGCACTTCTACAGTGAAAATAAATTCAGCAGTCATGAATTCAATCATTTATCTGTTCACCGTGTCTCCTAGCAAGCCATTTTCAGCCTCTGGTACCCACATGCCTCTTCCAGATGTGGTAGCATGCAGAAGTGCAGGGAGTCGGCCACCTCAGAGGGGCAATGAGGAAGGAAGGCAATTTTGGTCCTGTGGATGGCACCAGATTTGCAATCTGAAAGCAGAGAACTCTGGCCATGCCATTTACTCAAACAGTGCCCATTCATGAACAACATGCTAATGAGCACAGGAGCCCTCCAGGAGGCGTTTTCTCTCCAGCAGGGGATCATGCAGAACTATAAGTACAATGAAAGGGAGTGACTAAGAATTACTTGAGAGAAAAGAGAGACTGTCACCTGAGTGGGGCAGAGTCAGCCTTTCCATTATAGAAAATTCTGTCTCAGTGTCCCCTCCTATCTCTCCCTGTAGGCTCACTCCTCTCCAGACCCTCCCTCACCCAGCTCCTTGGACAGTCCATCTCAGTTACAAATGTAGTCTGATTTATTTTCTCTTAAGAGCCTGCTCAGCCCCATGTGAACTCCTTCGCATATTCTCGGCTCCAGCCATTACAAACTGCCTACTATCAAGAATGTGAATCATGTCGCTGGGAAAATCTAGGCAGCCACATCAGTTCTTTCCTTGAAGAATTCTCCTACAAGTGTGCCACGCTCTAGGCAGGAATGGCCTAGGCATAGCTCTTGGTGGCATCCATCCTTTGATCATTCTATCCCTTTGTGAGCAAGATGCCAAAGAAAAAAAGCCCAAGACAACACCAATTTTCTGAGTTCCTATTCTGTTCTAGCTATATGCTTTTCTTCCATCAGTTCCTCTCTGACTCTGCTTTTGAAAATCCCAGTCACACCCCGAGTCCTTCCTGCCTTTATTCCTTAGCTGTGTGCCCTTTTGGGTAGAGTTTTCTTTGTGTCCTGTTGGTGTGCTTCATTTGCTACTCTCATCCTCCTTGGGTCAGGGATGATATTTTTTCATGCTTCAAAATCACAGGGGAAAAAAATCTTTTGATACACATTGAACTGTCTTTGAAGGGCTGCCACAAGTACAGAATGGTACCCAGATAGAGGTAAACAGCAATTTGGGCTTCAACTATCCACAGCTGTTATCTTATTACATCATAAAGTCTACCTACAAACAAAGAGCATGTCTGAAGCTAGGTTGCTTTATTATAGAGGGATAAATGCAGCTGTGGAAATTAGCAAAGGTCCAGTCAGAGGAAGACAGAGCCCCAAGAGACCCCTCTGTTTTAACTGGGACCACTGTCTTCCCCTGAGGCAATCAAGGGAGACTGGGGAATGGTCGCCACTGTGTTCTCTTTCAGAGCTTCTGCTCTTCTGGCCTTCTGCCCAATCTGTGGTGCTGACCTGTCTGCCAAGAAGCAGCAGCAGAAGCATGGGACAGGCTCTCCCAGATACAGACAAGAAGCAAATGATGGGGATTGTGACAGGTGTCCTCCCCAGGCAGCTGTAGTGCAGGGAGCCATAGGGTGAGTCAAATACTCATCCTCTATTTCACAGCATGTGTCGTGCCTTCTAATCAGACTATGAATTTCTGCAGAAGCAGGGCCATTTCAGTATCCACAGAAGGCTGGCAGTTGAAAAACAAAAGTGACTGCACCCCATGCTCACCCACCACTCCCTCTGAGACTGTGCTATGACTAGACCCTGAGAATTACAGAAATGTCTGTGTGACTTTCCATTGCCTGCTCCTCTTCATTGTGAGCCAGAAGGGCCCAGGATGTCTTATGATCTGCGTCCTTGGGGTTCCTCCCTGGGCTGAGGATAATCCACGGCTACTCTTGGAGAGAAAGCATAGAGTAATGCCACAAAGAAAAGCCAGTAATGCTACAAAGAAAAGCCTCACTTGCATCTAATATTTCAAGTAATGGTATTGTCAGGGGCTGTAGGGTCAAAGAAACCTTTGATAGTGTCCTCAAAGATTGTGTGGCTGTTACTGTGAGTTACTGTGAGTTCACAGAAACGGGAAACATGTTGTCACTTACATTGTGAATTTTAAAATAGCTCTATTTATATTGTTCTTGTAATGAAAAGGGAATGTTTCACATTTCCCAGGAATCGTTGTATATGTCCCCTTAATACTCAGGGAGGCAAATGAGATGAAAATCAGCACATGACGTTCCAGGGTACTCAGTTGATAAGTCATCCCTTTGAAAAATGCCCAGTCTATCTTCTCTAGTCTATACTGCCCAGCCATGCTCTGGCAGCACATGGGTATCCTGAGTGGGGCCAAAGGGCAGACCTGTCAAAAGCAAACAAAGGCTTCCTCCTGTCATGGGGCAAAAATAAGCTAATATTTTTTTCAAATGTAAATTTTATTCCCATAAATTTTGCTTAAATATTGCCTATTACCAGTTCCAGTTGACCCTGACTCAACTAAACAAATGGCCAATCAGCAACTACTATTTGCAGAAAAGGGATGTTCTGGTGGCAACAACTAAAGCCAATATGCTGGATCAAGCAGAAAACAAAACATTTTGTCTGTGAATATAAAAGTGTCTCATGGACCACATGGGTAGAATGGAGCTGGGCCCTAAAGAGGTCAAACACTAGTTCAGCCTCTTTCTGCACACCATTCTCTTTCTGTTTTCAACAGACTTGTTTTGCTACTTAGTCCACAAAGTGGAATATAGCTGCCCAGACTGTCCAAGGTGACATGATAACTCTGCACTAAATAAATAGACTGCCTCTCTCAATATAGTCCCAAATACCCAGGAGAGAAAACTTGATGGGCCCAGTTTAGGTCAGGGTTACACTCCTAGTCCAATAAGCTGAATCCAGGGGTGAGGGCAGGACATGGTCACACAATAAAAAAGGGTCACAAGAGGTCTGTCTTGTAACCTAGGCATTAGGGTAGAACAGTTCCAAGAGAGAGAAGTGCTGGTAAGAAGGGTGCATGATGTCCCAGAAGGAAGCTACTCTGTGGAGGATCCAATGTAGCGATGCTCTATCATGCCACAAAAAAACTGGATTCAAGCCCAACACCACTGAGATCCAGTAAGAAAATACTGAGGAGTTTTAACACATTCTCTGGAAACACTGTAAGCATTTTTCTTTGGACTACATAGGAAAAGAGAGGGGATTTTTTTTTTTACAATATCATTTAATCCTCCAAGACAATGTGATAAACTCTGTTTTGCAGATAAGAATATTAAAGCTCAGAGAGGTTAAATAACTGTCCCAAGGTCACCCAGCTAGTAGGGGGTAGAACAGAATTCACATCCATGTCTGACTCCAAAACCCCATTCATGCTCCATCCATTCCTCTGTGTTCCTTCCCAAGTGAACTCTCCCCAGAGATAAGTCTCCCTTGCTCAGCTGAACAGCCTGAATTGAAGACAAGCATGTACCCAAAAGCTGACTTTCATTTTCTGTGCCTGAGACTTTTCTAGACCCAGTTTGCAAAGTGTGAATTCAGCCAGTCTTGCAAGGACTCTGGCCACAGCACAAAGCTCTTCAGCATCCCCAAGTCAGAAGCCCCCTTCCTACGCCTCACCCCCACCCACTGCAGGTTCCTCAACCACCCCCAGGTGGAGCATTTCAGCCCCCAGCCACTCCTAGGTTGTATACTGTTCAAGTGCTATCGATGCCATTTTCCTGTTTGCGTTTTGTTTTTGTTTTTGTTTTGTTTTTACAGTTCGTTGCTCATCCTAACTGTCAGCAGCAATTGCTTACCATGTGGTATGAAAATCTCTCAGGCTTACGTCAACAGTCTATCGCTGTGAAATTCCTGGCTGTCTTTGGAGTCTCCATAGGCCTCCCTTTTCTCGCCATAGCCTATTGGATTGCTCCGTGCAGCAAGGTACAGACTGCTTAAGGTGCATGTCGTTTGCGGTTATTTCTTCTCTCTTCTTAGCATGATCTGGAGTCCATTTTATTCAAATTAGCAGTTGATTTTTTCCCATATTTAAAGAAAATATTCCTGAGATGCCCAGTGAAAGTAGGAAACCACATAAAAGGAAAAATGTTAAGACGTGCTTTTTTAAATCTTTTTTTTTTTTTCCAAAGAGAGACAGGAGTGATAAAATTTTAAACATGAGAGGCATAATTTGAAAGGATTAATAACAGAATTGAGAATAAAGATACTTTTCTTCTTCTAATTATGCAATGTCCTAAGCATGTCCTCCAAACCCACAGTATAATAATTGTAATCATGGTAATAGTAATAGCCAACATTTGAGTAGTTTCTCTTCTCTAAGCCCTTTTCATGGAATATCTCATTTCACAGTCTCAATTACATTGTGACATGTATGCTTTATGAAGTAGGTCCAGAAAAGAGAAATGACTAGTAGGCTGGAAATCAAACACAGCTCATGCTGGGGTACTGCAGACCCACTGCAAACATCTTCCTAGTTTCCCTGGCCCCTTTGATGAGGTTCTGGCTCACATGGACAGCTAATTAGATTGCAGGAAGGAAAAAGGCAAAGGAAAGAGAAGAGCTCAAAAGGAGTGTTATTTCCCTGAGGGGGAGGGTCCAGTGCCCACCAGTGATAGAAGGAGTGGAACCTGCAGGTGCCAAGCTGCCCTACTGCCCGCTCCACCATCCCCACATCCCAGTCACATGGGTCAAAGCCACAGAAAGTACCAGTACTCCAGCTTCGGGGCAGAGTCAGTGCTTTTAAGACCAAACCATGCAGAAATTTTGAAGTATGTTTCATGGGTTTAAGATTCTCAGTAAAGGTTCTAAAGCTGCATTTACCTAGTGATACATTTAAAAAGGAATTAAGCTTAGGTAATCAACATTCAGTAGGAGAAATATGACTGCAGGGAGATTAGCTCCACAGGCAATTTGATCAGGTAATGTGGTTAATAAAACTGTCACCAGTGAACCGACCCTCTTGTCAACTCCGCTTAGGAGTAACTCATACCAGAATGACAGCTGTGAGACTTCGGGGCTGCTGGTGAGGCCACCTAACCAGACAATCAATGAACTGACTGCCTCAGAGTAGGTGCAGGGTCTCAGAGAGAGGTCAAGCCCCAAATCCTTCTTCTGGAGAGTAGTATTAAAAATGGAAGCCCTCTTACTGAACTTCTACAGTATTCAACCTTACATCTATTAAGGATTTTGCTTCTATGGCAGTCTATCATGCCAGGAACTTTCAGATCAGAATTTCCCAAATAATACACATGTAGGTAAAGGCAATTTTTTCTCTCCTTCATTATGAGCTGAAAAAACACAGTGGGTGAAAAAACTAACCAGATTTAAAGCTGGCTTGAAGCTGGTCATGGGTTTTAAGCACAGTCTGTATTGTAAGTTGCCTTCACCCAGAGCCCCAGTGAGTAGGGACATTTAACTTCACTCTCTCTGAACCCCAGAACAAATTCTAGGCTGTTCAATCATTAAAATAACAGCAACTTTGTGGAGAAAGTGCTGCCAATCCTCACTTTTGCTGCAAAGCTAAATGTGACAGCTTCCAGGAACCTGGGACTAGCCAACAGGAACAAACTGGTTTGCCTCTGACTGCCTAGTGGCCTGAGAAAAGACTCAGAAAGAGATGATGTGCCAGTTGCTGACTAAATTGTTTGGAATTCTGGTAGCTCTGAGAAGAATCTTGGTACACACGCAGATGTGATCCCATTAAAGTGTGTGGTTGCAGAGAGGGATTTCTAGAATTTCTTGGGCCTAGTAAATCCAGGAAGCTAATAGCACCTGGGACATAGGGGTCAGACCTATGGCAGTCTTCTGTAACACTCTGGAGGAAACAGTTGCAAGGAAGTTTGACCCATAATGGGGGTTTCCTCACCTCTGTTTAGATACTCGTTTGATTGACATTTGGTGCCCCCAGAAGTTCCAATAAGACTTAAAAAAAAAGAAACTCAAGATAAACATGAGCTGATCATTAAGCCACTGTCACTTCTATGCACTTTCTAGATTCCAAGTCTGAGCTCAGTGCAGTAGAGGGCATGTCGATAACTGAGTCTGTGGCATGAGATGATTCTTGGTGGCACTGCTCATTACAACCAAAGATTCCCTCATTAAAGAGCTGTCGAACTTGCTCTGAGGCAGCCAAAGGACAGATAAAACAGTCAAGATATTTTTAGTCTTTCCTTTCACCATTTAGAAAGAAATCTTTTCACCTTTGGCAGAGATATTACTGGGAATTACAGAGAGGTCACATCTACCATGTGACAAAACCAGCCCCTCTAAGGGTTCCTGATGCCGAGAAAAACCATGTCTCCCAAAAGGAGGGCAATGGTGAAGTCTGTTAATGGGCTGGCAGCCCTCCTCCTGAGGGGTCACTGTCTTTATATCTGTCTATATCTGTAATTCCAGGAAAAGGACAATGTCATTTCAGAAATCTCCTGTTCTAATGACATTATTACACCTTTTTCTAAAAACTTAGACCTTGATATTATTTTATAAATGTATTCATAAAATGTCACTTGCAAACTTCATCAACTAATGCCCATCAATTTCTAGTAAACGTTGAGATTTCTGTTTCCAGCCCAATGGTGCATTTACTTCCTAATAGTTGCTGCCCTCATTTAGAGACTATTAGAAACATCAAAATTACTTGATTAGTCAGCCATAATGACTGCATCATTTCTTTCCTATTGAATTATCAAGGCTGTCGATTCTATTTTTATATTAAGTTTCTGAGGGTCCCTAAGAAAGACAGTTAAATAAGGAAATCACAAGGCGAAAGGTGTCAACAGAAGTTCAGCTTACTAATATGTTGGTTGAAGAGGATAACCAAGTCACAGATGGCTACATATGACGATATATGCAGGCCTGGAGCATGGGACAGGTTTATGTGGGTCAAGAGAAAGAACAGTGATTCTGTTTATCATTTCTCATTGTCATCACCAACTTAGTTGAGCTCAGGCAGCCCACTGGGAGAGCAGTGAATTCTAATCCTCATGGACGCACGGCTGTTAGGTCTCTGTTTGCCTAGAGAGATCTTTATTCTCTCAACAAGGGCTCTAGTATCAAAGGGTCTTTATAGCTGCCTAAGCTGTTTCCATCCTTTGCTATCCTATTCTGATTTGTAATTTAGATTGTCTGCCTCTTAAGATCTCCGAGCCAAAAGAATAAATAACAGTCTTCTTCAAAGGTTCAAACAGTGTCTCTCTATGATGTGGCAGACACCAGCATCATGCGAATGCTGAGGAACTGCACCAGTTTTAATTATAACAGGGAAAGAGAAGCTGACTTCATCTATTACGTGTTAACCATAACTGTTCAAGTGTCCTCAAAATTTGCCCCAGCACTCAGGCAGGAGGAACTGTAAACAACTTTAGAATCCAGCCTTATGTCTTTGCAGTGTGCAATCTAACAGTCCTTACAGCCATAATCCTTGCTTGGAGAAATATAAAGTTGTTACCCTCTCTCCACCATCCCAAACACAAACATCTAGTAAGGAAGGCATGAGTGAGCGGGCAGCTTTGAAAGATCTCTGTTTTGCCTTACCAAAGCTGAAATGGCTTGAAAGGGGTCCTCAAACCATGTGGTTCAGGGCCCAACCAGCAGAGTACAGCAACTCCAGAGATCTCTGTTTCTCCACATTTATCTCTACCAGAGAGCTACACTCGATTAAAGAAAGTCACAACACAATTTTTGAAGCATAGCCATGGAGGGGAAATTTGTGTCAGGAAATGCAGCACTGGTGCTCTTACATCACTAATACTTCTATTCCCAAGTCCAAAAGGCTAGTCCAGCACCTGTCACCCTGCTGAGATAGGAAGAAAGAGTGCCAGAAGCTGATCGCTTTCAGACTTAGCCCAGACTGAGCCCTGCAACATTTCTCCCCATCTCTCCATCTATTTCCTACCACAGTTTTTAGCCTGTGTCTCTCCACACTAGAAAATCAGCAACTTTGAAGGGAAGATCCAACTCTTACAGCTTGTTTTATCTCTATCACCTCCAGTGCCCAGCATCGTGTTGCATATAGATAGCGCAACAGGCTATCTATAAGAGATATCCCAAACAGGCTGGTGGCATAAACACATAAGGACTCCGTGTGGGTCCACTTTTGTGTCAAGTTTTTTTTAAGATTCCTCTTAGGAGAATGTCCTGAGACCCTCCAGTGCCATATATTGAGTACTTCCCATACACCAGGCACTGCTCTAACTGCTTTGTGTGTATTAAATCATTCATTGCTTACATTGACCCTATTCAGTTGGCACTATTTTTATTCCCATTTTATAGAAGAAGAAACTGAAACACTAAGGGATTAAATAACTTGTTTTTAAAAATATATATGAAGCTGTGGTTTAAACCTAGAGTCTCTGGCTCCAGAGATCTGCCCTTAACCGCTGCATGCAAATGCACATGCCCATTACACTAGCACCATTACAACCTTCAACGCCTAAAGTAGACATCTTAGCTGCTGACTAACTGACCTTGAAATGGACTTGATTTAGATCTTAAAAGTTGGTAGGACTTTTTTAGAAAGAAGTCAACAACCAGATGACAAACTCTGTCCCTTCCTTTTCTTTCACTGGAGTCCTACTTTGTAAATCCCTCTTCAGCCCCCAGGACAAAGTGTGGATTCACATTGTAACAAGTGGAGAAATATCAAGTTGTTACAATGTGTAGATTGACATTGTAATGTGAGAACACTGATTACAGGCACCCAGTAAACACCATCACTATCCCACCCCATCATAAAAGGGAAAAATCCTGAGCCCTGTGTTAGACATTTTGAATAAGAGTTTCAGGGGGAGCATCTTGAGGAATCTGCCTCTAATTTAACCAGGATCTCGCTAACATTTGAGAATCACCCAACATTAAAGCTGTGCATGATTCTTTTGGGAACAATTAATCCAAGTTTGCTTTCACTCAGTTTCTAACTTGTAAGCCAGGCCCTTGCTTAAGACCATGGCACCCAGTGGAAAGTGAGGGCGGCATTTGGTGAAGGAGTCTGTTATAAAAGACTAGGAAGATGCTGGAAACCTTATCTGAGTGATGTACCACAATCACAGTTACAGGCCTATGTTGTTGGGATGTGAGGATTCGCACATCCAGGTCCCACTTAGGTGCTTACACTTGTGGGGGCTAAGAGCCCAGTGGCATGGAACACGGACTTGGTGCTGACCAGTAAACGCAGGTGCCCACCCCGAGGGTCCATGAAGGCAGTTTGTTTAGAGCCAATACAGGGGCACTATTCAGTTGCTTTGACATTCATATATTTCTCAGAGCCAAAGAATAGTGGCCAGGAAGCTTGGGGTGAGCCAGAGACTTCAGTTCTACAAGCTTTTATTTCCTGACGTGTTCTCAGCTCATAAGGTCCTAGTAATGACTGAACTGCTTTAGACCACATTTTTGGGCTCCTCAGTTCTGCACTCCAGGCACAGTGGGCTAAGGCCCACATCTTCATCTCTTTTTACACCTAATGCTAGTACCTGACCCAGCTTTAACGATTCTGCAGCTAAGAGCTGCTGGCATGTATTGGTTGACTTTTCTCCTTTCTTTTGGCTCATCTGGTGGCCTTGCAAATGGAGGAAATTTTCCCCAAAGGTAATTTACTTCAAAAATTATCTGTGTGAGTCAAATAGGGAATTTTACAAATAAAGAAAAAGGAAACCATTGAAATGACTGGATCTCATTTGACCTTTATCAAAGTTTTACCAGATAAAAAGATGCATTCAAATCCAGAAATATAGGAAAAGAACATCAATTCCCAACCTCACTTTTCCTCCCTATGACCTAGATCAAGTGGGAACTGAGCCCAGGGTAACTTTCCATCAAATCACCAAAAGACATTATCAGGACGTTTTATTATGGTTTATAGTAAATATAATAATTTTTGCAGATTCATCTTCTTCTAGAAAATAACAGCTTGAAGGAGGTAACAAAGAGAATATTAAATTCCTTAAACCAGGTCTTCTGGGGAAACCCAAAGCCAGCTTGGGTGCAGTTACATACAAATTCCAACAATCAGGTGCCTCACCTGGGTGAGAAGTTGGAGAGGTATACCCCACATCCTCATCCAGATGATCACTGAATATACTAGGTAAAGCCCACAGATAAAGGATGGGGAAAACTGACCCCTTAAGAGTTGTGTCTATCTCAGAGTTCCCCAGCTTTTTCTAATACTCTTGAAACCTTGCTGGGATACACAAGACCTAGTATCCCTTGCCCTCTCTTCAGTCTCCCCTCTCCTCATGCTCTAGTCTCCTCCCTGCAGTCATTCTCCATCTCCCTTCACTTCTCATCACCAGCTCAGTCAGGACACAGTGACAAGAAACAATGTGATGACCACCTAAGGCTGTCTCCTGAATACGCCAAAACATCCCAAAGTCCTGGTTGGGAAATGGGGCTCCAAGATGCTAACAGCATTTGCTAAAATGCCAAAAACTTCAAACTAGCTATTTAATATCATATAAATCAAAAAGAGACATAGTTTAATTCAGTTTTGTACTGAATTTATATAAAATATACTTGTCCTTACATTTAATCTCTGCATTCTATAGCACATCTGTCTATTGCCAAAAATAATCTAAAGTCCCTATTTTTGTAAATAATAGACAGTATACAGAAATGTTACTGTAAAATATTTGTGGGAATATTGTCAGATAAACATCTTTTTTTTTTTTTTTGAAACGGAGTCTCGCTCTGTCACCCAGGCTGGAGTGCAGTGGTGCGATCTCGGCTCACTGCAAGCTCCGCCTCCTGGGTTCATGCCATTCTCCTGCCTCAGCCTCCCGAGTAGCTGGGACTACAGGCACCCACCACCGCGCCTGGCTAATTTTTTGTATTTTCAGTAGAGATGGGGTTTCATCGTGGTCTCGATCTCCTGACCTCGTGATCCACCCACCTCGGCCCCCCAAAGTGCTGGGATTACAGGTGTGAGCGACCGCACCCGGCCAACATCTCTTTGTATTTCTGAAGTTATTCCTAGTGTCATATGACAATACGCAGATGAATTCTAACACAAGCAGGGATTCCTAATGTTTGAATATTTTTTAAAATCTAGATTTTTAAAAAGATAAAAACTAATACTTTATTTTAATAAATGGGTTCTGTAGCATCAGAATCATAATAATGTTATGCTAATAACTACAATAATTAAAGTGGATGATTAACATACTGAAGCACATTAAAAGAACATTATCAAATCATCTGATTTATAAATGTTGTGTTGAACATAGTCACAATTGGGAAAATTCTACTTAGAGAAACCCCTGTAACTGATCTTCTGTTGAACCAATAGTCTATTTCCTGGGTAACATTTCACTCTAGAACTGCTGAATGAGGCAGAATGTGAAAGTCAAGTAATCAGTCACTGGTTATAATTGAGTATCTATCTTGGAAAAGAAACTGAGCTTCAGAAAAGATGTTCCTCTTTGCTCTTATTACCGTACCTGGATGAGGGGTAGGATTTGGTGCTTAGATTAGGGCAATGAGCTGGAAAAGTCCCAACTGAGTTCATTAACAGGAGGTTGGCAAGTACTCAATGTGCAGCCCTCAAGTCGATCCCAAAGATCCAAGTGGCCTTTGGATGGGGTGCCATGAGATAGAGAAGATGTGACTAGTATTTGCTCCTTAATAGGACATCTTTTGGACCATTTCCAGCTTGTGACATTTCAGGCACTAGGCCAAAAGGAAAACCTCAATGAATTTTAGAATACTATCATAGAGGCTATGTTCTATAAAGATGCTGCAATAAAATTCAAATTTTTTAAAGCAGGGAGAAAAAAAGTCCTCTGTGTCTGGAAATGAAATAATCCTTGAGTTAAAAATGAAATAAAAATATAATGTATAAAATACTGTCACTGAATGTCAATGAAAATGCTACAAGGGAAAATTTAGGAGAAGGCAGCTAAAGCAGTACCTAGTGAGAAATGTATAGCTTTAAATAAATGTATCAACATACAAGAAAGGTTGAGAACAAATACTCTAAGAATGAAGCCCAAGTGAGTAGATTAAACAAAAACTGAGCATACTCAAAGCACATTTTTTAAAATTGTGAACTTTATGCAGACATTATTTTTTCATATTCATGCAGTTGAAGGTATCAGTGCAATCAGATGTAACATGGTGATTGTCAGGTGTGTGCTATCAATTCTCTTAGCCCCTCCCACTAAGTCTTCTAAATGGGAAAATATTGACCAAGTAAGTTTGGTCAAGCAGCATCTCACATAAAAGTTCAAGAAAAAATGTTATATGGGTTCAGTTAGCAGTTTCTGTCCAAGACGAAGGATTCTCTGGTTAAACCTTGGTGAAAGCGATGTTTTAAAGAAAGACTTGCATCCACCTAGAGCCAGTTTAACATGTCTTGCACATGTTTTCTTTCCAGCTAGGACGAACCCTGAGGAGCCCTTTCATGAAGTTTGTAGCTCATGCAGTTTCTTTTACAATCTTCTTGGGATTATTAGTTGTGAATGCATCTGACCGATTTGAAGGTGTTAAAACCCTGCCAAATGAAACCTTCACAGACTACCCAAAACAAATCTTCAGAGTGAAAACCACACAGTTCTCCTGGACAGAAATGCTCATTATGAAGTGGGTCTTAGGTAAGCAAGTCACTCTACTTTTATTCTCTCCTTGCTAATTATAGTAGGACATTATTAAACTCTGACTTCTGAACTTCTTCCTCCCCTCTTCAGTGTACTCTTGATAGACAAAATGGTGAGTAGATTACCAACAAGAAAGTCATAGTCATCTTCTGTCTTTAAGATACACAGACCTGTATACAAACTCCAGTTTTGAAAGGAAATGTTTGGGGTGGCGGAGGGGGGGCCAGAAATTTTTTAAGTACATATATTGAACATTCATTATACATATATTGAAAGTAGTTTCATGGGAAAACATATTATTTTGATCATTTAAACATAGTCCATCGGAAGTCTTAAGAAAACAAGTTCAGATTTTTAAAAAGGGCATAAAATTGCATAGCTTAAAAGATATTTCTGTTATCACTAAATATTGGTATATAGTAGAACTGTGATAATAAATATACATCTAAAAACTTACAGGAGTAACATTTTCTTATTATTTGTGTAAGTGGGTGTACTAAAAAGCTATGAAATTCCTCTTGTAGTGGTATTTCATGCTGCCATGGTGTGCCACTGGAGCTGCCAAGGAAATTGTTCCCAATTTCCTCATTGATTAACTAAGAAAGGCTGTCTTTTACCCAATTTATGAGAACCATTACTAGAAGGAATAATCAAAATAAAATAAAACTGGCAGTGACTAAAATTGAATGTGGCAAAATGTGTTATAGATTTTTCTAACAATGAGAGCTGCAAAATCGGTTGATTAAAAAAAAATCAGTCTTAGTAGGAAAAAATTAAAAATTGCAAAAACTAAAATCAGTGACTCTGTATATAAACCTTATCAATAAATTTTAAGATTTACATCAAAAATATGTAAAATGAATTTGATGGGAATATTTTAAGTAAAACAAGCAAAACAGAAGATAAAAAAAGACAAAAAATCAATATCAAGATTTGACCAAGTAATTCAATTGGCTTAATGGTGTTCACCTCAGATTTTGCTTTCTCGACAAAAATTTAATATTGGTATAATTTTCATTATGTTTATATTCACAATGAGTCAAAATGTATTCAGGGTCAATGTGTCTGTGCCATCAATCAACAAAATCACAATGGAACAAACACCTGAAAAGGTAACCTAACATATGGCCTGTGCTAATTAAATAATATAGCCCAAGAGTGCTACAAGAGTAGAACCACTAGAGAACATCCTATGGATGCCTAAGCTGAGACCAGTTGGAAAAATGGTCTCTAAGTTGGATTTCTAAATAGGCAAAGGAAGATGAGATGAACAGTTTTATCCAAAGGGCATAGGAAGGATAACCCACCAGGCTTTCAAGGGACTTTATAAAACCAGCAACCCAGCCAGGCACAGTGGCTCACACCTGTAATCCCAGCACTTTGGAAGGCCGAGGGAGGCGGATCACAAAGTCAGGAGTTCGAAATCAACCTGATCAACATGGTGAAACCCCGCTCCTACTAAAAACAAAAAATTTAGCCAGGCAAGGTGGTGTGCACCTGTAATCCCAGCTATTCAGGAGGCTAAGGCAGGAGAATCTCTTGAACCTGGAAGGCAGAGGTTTCAATGAGCCAAGATTGTGCCACTGCACTCCAGCCTGGGCGACAGAGCAAGACTCTGTCTAAAATTTAAAAAATAAATAAAAATAAAAAACCAGCAACCCTGTGACCAAAGGCTCATTTAGTAGAGTCACTGGCACTAAAGTTGTGAAGGGACATTAAAGTTTGTTACAGAGTGAGTTCTGTGGCCTTACCTTCACAATTCAGAATCTGTCCCAGTTCTCCCTATACATATGCCATTGTTTAACTAAATTGAGCATTTTAACACTAGGCGCTTAGAAAAAATCTCACATGTTGGATTTATGAATAAAATTTAAAGTATTTACAGCACCAATCACCCACCTACCCCATTTTCCCACTTGGACCCCAGGTAGAAGACTCTGGTAAATGCAACCGTACTTTCCCTTGAACAGGTGTAGCTACTGTTAATGGAACCTCTTGAACAAGGACTGCCTCCTGAGTCCTCATATTTCTCTTCCTGGGTGTCAGAGCATTATTCCAATAAGAGGGATGTGTCTCTAGCTATAGGATCCCCAACTTGTATAGCTTAGTCCCTGCTTCTGATACTCAAAGCAGAGTTCAAGACTGTTAAATCAGAAGTGCTGTAGAGGGAAGAACTTATTTCTCATTGGCCTCTTTCCAGAAGGAAGATTCTAATTACCTTTTCTTTCCTAGAGAATGTTTTCAAATTTTTTATTACAAATAATTTTAATGAAACGCGAAACATCAAGAGAAGAGCATAATGAATTCCATGGATCTATCTCCCATGTTCAACAGTTACCAATTCATGGTCAATCTTTGCTCCATCTATACTTCCCCCATCTCCCTTCTCTCTAACCTTGAGTTATTTAGAAACAAACCCCAGTTATCATAAATTTATTCTGTAAACATTTGTGTACATCACTGAAATGTAACATTTCTTTTTCCTTTTATTAATCTTTTTTCTTTCTGTGCTTCACAGTCGCTGATGTTTTTTTCCTGTGGTTTTTGTGATTTTAATTCCAATCAGTGGGTTTTTCATTTCTGATATTATATTTTTCAATTATTAAAATCTTACTTGGTTCTCTTTTATATCTCCCATTTCCTTTCTCATCATTTTTGTATTTTCCTTTAAATCCTTGAACATATTTACAGTAACTGTTTTGAAGCCTTGACTCCTAACTCCACCATCTCTGTCATTCCTGGGTTGATTTCTATTGACTAATCTTGCTACCTAATTATGGATGACCTTTTCCTGCATCTTGAAATGTTTGGTAATTTTTTGTTGAATGATGGGCACTCTGCATGTTATGATTGTGAGCCTCTGGATTTTGTCTTCCTTCAAAGTTTTCAGCATTATTCTGACAGGCTGTTATGTCACTTGTGACGAGTTTGATCCATGTAAAGCTTTCTCATAGTGGATCTGGAGAAGACTTACTGTAAAGACGGTTTATCTTTGTACTATAGAGACACACTTCTGGGGTCTCTATTGAATGCTCTGGGTAATCAACAAGGAGTGTCAACTCTGGATGATCAGAGCTCAAGTATCTCCCCACTCTGGGTGAGCTCTGAAAACTGTTTGGCTTACAGCTCCTTGGCAGTTGTTTGTGGAGTTTCTCTCTATGAATTCATGACTTAGTTTTCAGCAAACATTCCAAAGAACCCCTATTTAAATTGGTGGTGTCTTTTGTTTGTTTAGTTTTGTTTGGTTTGTTTCTTTGCTTGCTTGTTTCTGCATACTGCCCTTCTCTCTGGAGCTCTGCCACACAACATGTAATCACCTCAGCCTTCCAAAACCCCATTCTGTCTCTTCAACTCAGTGAGACTGCCTGCTACGCTTCTGGGATCCCTTTCCATGCACTACAGACTGGAATGTGCCTCCAGAAAGCAAGCTATGGTGGTCATATGGCTTGCCTCACTTGTTTCCCTTTACTTAGGGATCACAGTCCCATGCTGCCTATTTCCAATGCCTAAAAATAGTTATTTATGTTTGCTTTTGTTTTGTTTTTTGTTTTTTAACCTGTTTGTTACTCCATCCAGGCTAGTAACAGAAATCAGAAAACTTTTTCTAAAAGAGAACCAGAAAAACATTATCAAGCCTAAAAGAAAATTAATAATATCTTAGTATCTTCAAATATCCAGCCAATAATCAAATTTATCTCATTGAGAGAGGTGAGTTGAATAAATATCCACATGACTTGCTTCCCCTCCTGCTTCAAATCACTTTTCAAATTTCACCTTATCAGAGTAGTTGAGCAGGTAAGAGCATGCCCTCTTATCCCTCTACTCTGATAAGGTGAAAAGCATTCCAGGCAGAAGGAATAGTATGTGTTTAAACCTGGATTCAGGAGCAAGCTGGACGTGTTCAAGGAACAGCAAAGAGACCAGTGTGGCTGATGTAGATGAATGAGGAGAAGAGAAGTAGAGATGAAGTCAGAGGAGGTAGCCTTTGGAGAGTTTTCAGCACAAAAGCGACATCATATGACTTCAGTTTTTAAAGGATCACTGACTGTTATGTAGAGAACAGGTGACTGTGAGATATGAACAGAAGTAAGGAGACCAATTAGGAGGCCACTGCAGTAATTCAGACAGGAAGGAAATGGTCAGTTTGAGGAGGTGGCATATTGTGATTACATTTTGAAGGTAAAATCAATAACACTTACAATTGGATTGTGTATGAGATGTGAGAGAAAGAGAGCAGTCAAGAACAATTCCAGGTGTTTAGTTCAAGCAATGGCACATTAGGAAGCCATTTACTAAGACAGGAAAGACCAGAGGGGGAGCAGTTTGCAGGGGGAGTAGAGATGAAAACCAAGACTTGAGTTTGAGACACATATTTAGACATTCATGTGGAAATGCCAAGTAGCAACTGAATATACATGCCTGAAGTTCACAGGGGAGAATGGGGATGAAAACATAAATTTGGACATATCAGTTCATTTAAATGATACAATATCATGGTAACTATGAATGTGAGCAGAGAACTGAGGACCAAGCCCCAGAGCACAACAATGTTTAAAGCATGGGAAGATGAGAAGTATCCAGCAAAGAAGGCTGAAGTAAGAGAAGAACCAAGAGAGTGCTGGCCCAGATGCCAAAGTATCTGTAGCAAGAACCAGGGAGTGATGACAATGTCAAATGCTGCTAATGAGACCAGAGACCTGACCATCAGCTTCGGAAGGAAAGTCCCTGAGTAGGCAACAGGGAATGGGATTTAGTGTGGAAGTAGAGGACTTGGCCTTAGCAGGAGAGTGAACACTTCACTCACTGTAACGGGAGAAAAGGTGAAGTTGACAGCACAGTGCAGGTGGACTGGGAGATGCAGTAGTGGGAACATGCACAAGTTATTTTCCGATATTTTCTATTTTCTCAATTTTTTTACTCAATAAATATTTTCTAGTTATTAGGCACTATATTATATACCAGGCACCGTGTCAGGTACTAGGGAAGCAGCTATAAAT